CAAGTGTTGAGCAGTCAGTATTCATCTTTTCCACATTGATATCTTCTAGATTCAGCATTTGTGAAAAGGTTATCACATCACTGTGGTCAGACATTAGTCAACGCCACATGTGAAGGCAGGTTTAAATTTCATGCTGTTATTGACTTCCCAGAAGTCACTTGATCACTGAGCCATCTCTTTCTATTTCCAGACCTTGACAGATTCATGTGTTAATTTTAATAGTTGTTTGTGTAACCATACTATTACTCCTAAATAGGGATACTGTTAAGTAACTTGATCTTACACCTTTTTTTTTTTTACATTTTTGCATTGGTTAGTATCTCCATTGAAATATTGAACAGTGTGCTGAAAACATGCTTTTTTTTTTCTCATTGTGTCCCCATTAAATATGACATTAGTAGGTCAGGCTGTCTTTGAATTTTTTTTTTCAAGACAGGGTTTCTCTGTGTAATTTTGGAGTCTATCCTGGCACTTGCTCTATGGACCAGGCTGGCCTCAAACTCACAGAGATTCACCTCTGCCTCCTGAGTACTGGGATTAAAGGTGTGTGCCACCAATGCCCAGCTTGTCTTTGAACTTCTTATGTAGCTCAGTTTGACTTCAAACTCTGAAGCAAATTCTCCTGCTTCAGACTCCTGGGTGTTGGGATGACAGATGTGGGCTAATTGTAATTTTTTCTTAGATATTCTTCAGATTCTTTAGGTGTTTCCTATCTATTCCTAGTTTGCTAATACATTTCTACTTGATTATGAAAAATTGAAATGCACCCACCCTTTTACACAAACTTCTTCCTCTGGGAGCTTGTGCTAATTTTTATACGTGCCTATGAAATTATTTGTGTGTAAGGTTAACTATTGTGTCATCACTTGTAAAAGCATACTATTGCAAATATGTTTACTGTTGCATTCTTGCAAGAGAAAACTGTGATGGGAGAAAGGAGCTCTGTGCACTGAAGGGCATTGTCTACCATCCTGGCTAAGTGACGTCATGCCTGAATTCTGAAGCCAGAGTACTTGGTTTCACCTCCTGACTCAATTACTTACCTTCCTAAGCCCCATTTTCCTCATCTGTAAAGATGGTGAGAAACCTGTCCATACAAGCTGCTGTCACAATTCAACACTTAACATTTGTGAAGCGCTTAACAGCAGGGCCCAGCATCACACAGTCTCTGCTAAAGGCACCCCTCCATTACTTTCACTAGGATGACAAACTCTCCATTGTTCACTGTTAAGTAACTTGAATCAATGAAAACAACTACTAGAAATAATAATGTTACGACTGTGGTGGCATAGATGTCCGTATTGTATGAATGTGCATCTTTTGGGTATATGTCTAAGGGTGGAATTGCTGGGTCTTGTGGTAGACTGATTCCCATTTACCTGAGGAATCTCTATACTTATTTCCAAAGTGGCTGTACGAGTTGGCACTCCCACCAGCAGTGGAGAAGTGTTCCCCTTTCTCCACATCCTCTCCAGTATAAACTGTCTTTTGTGTTTTTGATTTTGGTCATTATAACAAGAGCAAGATGATATCTCAGAGTTGTTTTGATTTGCATTTCCCTAATGGCTAAGGATGTTGAGCACTTTCTCAAGCGTCTATCAGCCTTTTTGACTCCTCTATTGAGAATTCTCTATTTAGTTGTGTACCTCATTTTTTAATTGGATCCTTTGGTGTTTTGGAGACTAGCTTCTTGAGTTCTATGTATATTTTGGAAATCAGCCCTCTGTCAGATGTGAGGTTGGTGAATATCTTTTCCCATTCTGTGGGCTGCCGTTTTTGTCTTGTTGACTGTATCTTTTCCCTTACAGAAGTTTCTCAGTTTCAGGAGGTCCCATTTATTAATAGTCGACCTCAGTGTCTTTGCTACTGGAGTTATGTCCAGGAAGCAGTCTCCTGTACCAATTTGTTCAAGGGTACCACCTACCTTCTCTTCTAAGAGGTTCAGTTTGGCTGGAGTTATGTTGAGGTCTTTGATCCATTTGGACTTAAGTTTTGTGCATGGTGGTAGATATGGATCTGTCTGCAGTCTTCTACATGCCAGCATCCAGTTATGCTAGCACCACTTGTTGAAGATGCTTTCTTTTTTCCATTGTATAGTTTTAGCTTCTTTGTCAAAGATCAGGTGTTCATAGGTATGTGGGTTAATATCAGGGTCTTCAATTCGATTCCATTGGTTTACCTGTCTATTTTTGTGCCAAAACCAAGCTGTTTTCATTACTATAGCTCTATAGTAGAGCTTGAAGTCAGGGATGGTGATGCCCCAGAAGTTCCTTTAATTGTACAGGGTTGTTTGGCTATCCTGGGTCTTTTGTTTTTCCATATGAGAATTGTCCTTTCAATGTCTGTAAGATTACGATTTTTACTACGTTGATCCTACTTATCTAAGATCATGGGAGAGCTTTCCATTTTCTGGCATCTTCTTTAATTTCTTTTCTTAATGACTCAAAGTTCTTGTCATACAGGTCTTTCACCTGTTTTGTTAGAGTTACCCCAAGGTATTTTATGTTGTTTGTGGCTATTGTAAATGGTGATGTTTCTCTGATTTCTTTCTCAGCACATTTATTGTCTATATATTGTAGGGCTACTTTTTTAAGTTAATCTTGTATCCTGCCACTTTGTGCTTATCAGCTGTAGGAGTTCCCTGGTAGAATTCTTTGGGTCACTTATGTAGACTTTCACAGCATCTGCAAATAGTGAAAGTTTTACTTCTTCCTTTCCAATTTGTATCCCTTTGGTCTCCTTTTGTTGTCTTACTGCTCTAGCAAGAACTTCAAGTACAATATTGAAAAGATATACAGAGAGTGGACAACCTTGTCTTGTTTCTGATTTTAGAGGAAATGCCTTGAATTTCTCTCCATTGAGTTTGATGCTGGCTGTTGGTTTGCTGTATATTGATTTATTATGTTTAGGTAAGTTATCCTTGATTTCTTTTGACAACTTAGTCTGAGTAGTAACCTACTACATATACCGTCCCTCCTTAGTTCAAAGTAGTTGCTCAATGAATGTGGAGTTAGTGTCGGAGGAGATGAAAGAGGTCTGGCTAAAGCAAAGACTATCAATAGCTTTTCTTACCCAACCAACAACTGGGGGTTGGGTTTCTCAAGATGTCCCTTCAGCTGTGCAAGTCTAGACAATAGCATTTTAAAACCAAGTCACTGAGGAAATCTCCATCTTTATTGTTCTGTGTAGACAAAGAGATCCTTTCTTAGATTTGACAAACCAGATAAAGCAGTAAAATGAAGACAAACCCTAAAGCAATGTAGATAGATGCAATCTTCAAGGTGAATACAATTTCTCACTCCTTTGCTCCACATAAAATAATGCATCCTCTCAAATAATTCTCACCATCCCCTCTCCTCTCTTATTTCTTCATTGGCTAAATTAAAAAGAAAAGCACAGGATTTGTGTGTGTGTGTATGTGTGTGTGTGTGTGTTGCATATTATTTCCCATAGAGGACTGATAGTATAACTTGTTTAGTATTTAAAAAAATCAAAGTTTTCACTTTTTCTGTTATATCAAAATGGGTGACTACAACCGATTCCAAAGACATGAACCTGCCCACTGTGCAGGGTGTACTCTGGGAAGGACAGATCAATACCCACATAGTTCAACAGAAGCAGCAGTGGGGTTTATATGCAGTCAGGCTTTCCATCTTCACATTTCCAAGTCTTCAGATGTAATCAACTGAGCATCAGTAATATTTACAGAAATATTGTATTTGGAGGTGCCAGCAAGATGGATCATTGCAAAGGGAACTTGCTGTCAGACCTAAGGGCTAGAGCTTGACTCATGGAATCCACATGACAAGAGAGAATCCATTCCTGCAAGTTGTCCACTGGCCTCCACATGTGTGGTGTGGTATATATACGCACAAAACCAAATAGATGTTTTTAAGAAGTGGTTTTTGCTTTGAATCCAGATTTGATGGGGCTCACCTGTAATCTCAATATCTGGAAAGCTGGCTGAGCTGATCCAGACTTTTCTCTACTTAATCCATGAACTGTAGAGTATAAGAGCTATTTATCTAGCATTTGCATTGGTATGATAAGAGATCTAACAATCATTTAATGTCTAAAGGATTATACATGTATTCTTTGCACATAAAACACTGTTTTATATAGGGGATGTGAGAAGCAATGATCCTCACTTTGCAATGAAAAAATTCTCATTTCTTAATAACCTGAGTTGTGAAATCCAGGCAGTAGTTTATTAAGAGCTTTTGAAATCAGACATCAGCCTAGAATGGCAGGTGAGCAGATTAAGGCAGAGAATAATCGCTTTCAAAAGTTGATTAAAATTTTAGGGGCTGAAGAGAGATGGTTCAAGTTATGGGCACTTGATCCTCTTACAGAGGACCCAGGTTCTGTTCCCAGGTTCTGATATGGTGGCTCAGTTTTCTGCAACTTTTGTTTTGGGGTATCTAACCCTGCTTCTGACATCTGTAGGCTCCTGTATGTATGTACACAGTGCACAAACACACATAAAATAAAATGTTTTCTAAAATGTTGAAATGTTATGCACCTATGTATGTCTGTTTCTCTTTCCCTCTCTGTGTGTCTATGTGTGTGTTTTTCTGTGTATGTTTTGTATGTGTGTGTCTCTTTGTGTGTATCTATGTGTGTCTGTTTCTCTCTCTCTCTCTCTCTCTGTCTCTCTGTCTCTCTGTCTCTCTGTCTCTCTCTCTCTCTCTCTCTCTCTCTCTCTCTCTCTCTCTCTCTCTCTCTCTCTCTGTCAGCTGCCTGATATGGGTGCTAGGAACCAAACTCTGGTTCTCCAGAAGAGCAGCAAGTGTTCTTAAGTGCTGAACCATCTCTCCAGCCCAGGAAGTGTTTGCATCATTCGGATAAACAGGACAGTAAGGCCAGTCCAGAAAAGAAAATCCACACAGCAGACAAGTGTGTTCTCCTGCATCTACCCTCAGGGTCTCAGGGTCTCTAGAGGGTGGTGGATGAATTTTCCTTCCCTTTGCCTCAGTGTCTCCTTGATCTCTTTCACACAGAAGATGGAGCAAAAGGAGCTGCAGACCAAGGGTGGAAGCTGCGTTCAAGGGGGAGCCAGCTGCTGAGACAAAGAATAAGAAAAAGTGTAGCAATTCTTCTAGGGCGTGTCGCTAACCCTGTGATACACATCCCCTATCCTTCTTTCTTATGGTAGGAAAAATTAAAATGTAAGTACTGCCATGGTGAGTAGATTTCTGTTTAAATGAAAATATGAAGATAGCTGACATAGATCACCCAGTCAACCTAGTTGTGCTCTGGACTCGACCCATGCACCTTCCTGAGACTGTTTTCATCAGGATAGCCAATATCGCTTACCATTTATCAAGATCAGAATATAGGAGTGGGCTGGTGGGTGATGAGTCTGAACAACAAAAATATGTCAATAGCTACTGTAGAAATAAACCCATTTAAAAGGCATGTTTAGAATGCACTTTTCTGTTGAGAACCTTGGGTTAGGTGCTGCTTCTTCATTACAGCTCTTAAAATTTTAAAAAAATTATAGGTTGGTATCTGTAATCCTTACACTTGGGAGGTTGAGGCAAAAGGATATACTCGTGCATACAGGCATGTGCCAATGCTTGTGTGTTTGAGTGCATGTATGTGCACGCACGCACACACACACACACACACACACACAAACACACAAACTATTATGTGGTTTTCAAACTATTAAGCTGACAACATTAAAAAAGAAGATAACAGTGACTGACAGGTGACAATGTGGGCACTTACAGGAGTTGGGGTGGAAATCAGTAGAACCTATATACAAAGCAGTTCAGAAGCCTTTATCATGACTTAAATATCTAGGGCCAGAGAGATGGCACAGCAGTTAAGAACACTGGCTGTTCTTCCAGAGGACTGGGCTTTGATTTTCAGAACCTACATGGAAGGTCACAATTGATTGCAGCTCTAGTTCTAGGGGAATGCAACATCCTTTTCTGGCCATTGGTCATGCACATGGTGCTCAGACATACAAAACACCTGCACACCCAAGATAATAAAAAATAAAGAAGAAAAAAATGGAGTTCCACTTCTGGCCAGAAGAGTCCTGACCTTTTAAGTATACCTTAAACCACTGTAAATATAAGCCAACACATGAAATGATCATTTGTAGGATGTTGACCTTCAGGTAGCACTGGAGCCAGGGGAACTATGGGAGTAGTTCCTTCTCACTGCCCCAGTTCTCTGCCTAGAGACACAGCCGCTGCTCCTACCAGGAAGGCAAATTCAGCTGGAGTCCAGCAGTTTTACTGTGCTGAGAAATGGTGCTTAGAATTTGGGAGGTCAGGGCAGACATACCCTGCAGGCAGGGTTTCAGACAGAGGGAGGTACAAATAGCACACTCAGAAGTCTCCTACTAATCCCCTTAGTCTGACTGAATACCCATCAGCACAGATGGGTGAAGGTACCAAGAAGAGGTGGCCTTATTTTCACATAGGCAAAATAGTACACTGTAGTGCTATTTGCAGTAGCAAAATACATCCCAGGAGGAGAGTACTTAGATCTTGTAGAGTTCTACAGTCACATAATAGAACATTAGAGGACCTTAATGATGGTCAAGTTCTCTGTATGCTGCTATGAACAGAGTATACGGTCTGGTGAGATGGCTCAGTGGGTAAGGGTGTTTGTCTCTGGATCCATATAGTGAAAGGAGAGAACTAACTACCTCAAGTTGTCCTCTCATGTGCATATTGTGGTACATGCACACCCCACCCTCCACAAATAAATAAATACATGTAACAATAATAAAAGAAAACAACATATGAAATAAGTCAGAAAGTTTTATTTTGTGTGAAAAAGGTAGAACTATACATATGTTCTTATGCATGATTTAAGAAACTTTAGAAGGATACTATAGAAACCATAAGTAATGCTTACTTATGCTTATAAGGGATATTAGGAGCTGGGTATACTGGGACCAATGTTGAGAAGAAAATAATTACTCTCTCTCTCTCTCTCTCTCTCTCTCTCTCTCTCTCTCACACACACACACACCTAGATAGTATTCATAAATCTATATGTATATATATGTCATACATCCACACAATCACCCTAATAATCCTTCCTTCACTCATATTTCTCCCTACACCTTTATTCTTTCTCTGCCCACTCACTTGTCCATCATCCATTATGTCATCATCAACTCATCATATCTATTGTCATTCTTCGTGACTTCCCTGAGGTTACTCCGTTCCCTTGTGACTTCACCTCTGGGTATCTCTGATCCTCTGACTCAATCTTTTTCTTCCCCTCATCTCTCATCACACCTGTTCTTTTACACTGTGGCCCAACTGTCTCTGGACGTTCATCTTCAAAGTTTCCACCTAAGACATTGTCTCTCCACCTCTTGTCATCTGGTGAAGTCTGACTTCTCTTTCATGCATACATTTAGATGCCATCTCTAACTTGAGCCTGGTATCTGGTAATTCTTCTGTCACAGTATTTTAATACTGGATTACACTTGCTTGTCTCATTTCCTGCCTCCACTATAACTTTCTTAATGACAAGAACCTTCTGCTTTGCTCACCATTAATTCTCTACTTCACTCCTGGGACTTGATTGTTTTCACAGTTTAAGCTCTCGAAACTACGTGTTTAAATGAATGAATGAACTGTATATACTTTACAACCAGAGTCCATAACAGCCAAAGGATTTTGGAGGTATAGAATATTAAGCAGACCATTAAGACTTATAAAGAGAACTGAAGTAATTTTTTAAAGGTTTTACAATTATTATTATAAATTATGAGTATATGTGTGTTTAGGGGTATGTGCAGCTGTCCATCATCACAGCCTGTCCTAGTTAATTACTGCTATCAGCTTGACACAGCCCAGAGTCATTTGAAGAAGTCTCAGTTGAGGGATGACCTAGGTCAGATTGACTTGTGGCAGGATAAATGATTGATGTGGGAGGGTGCAGCCCACTGCAGGTGGTTTTTGTAGTGGCATCTTGCCTTGTCAGTGAACTTATAATGGTGGCCACACCTTTTGGGTGTGGTTTTAGGTGCAGACGTGGCCCATAATAAGGACGGGCTGGCTCACACTCTCTTGGGTTGCAAACAGCATCAGAAGAGCAGAGACCGCATCTCCTAGAGCAGGAAGACCTGGCAGATATTTGCTCTTATCTGTTTAAGTCCTTCCCTAACAAACACCTATTAATCATTTATCTTGTGTCTGGTGAACTCGTTTAAACCCTGCCTTCAGGTGCTGTTCCTTGGAAGGTGATTCTGAACTCGTATTTCTATAATCCGTGTCTATATCTATAGCTAGTTGAGCAGAAAACTAGAAATCAAGTCAGGAAGCAGCATCCTGTTGGGGTACCCCGAATTGAGGAGGGGTCCCCAAGCTGAATTCGTCACCCCAAGAATCAAGAGTCCATGCGCCAATGATGCAACACGCAAGAGGCTTTAATTAGGTATCTGCAGATGGGCCTCTCGGTCAGCTTTTAGACCAATTGGCCCCGAGGTTCAGTTACAATCAGCTTTTAAAGACAAAAAACACAAGCTTTTGGGAGGGGTCCCTATCTCGTGACGGGGGAAGGGGGTACGTGACTCCTGACCTGGGGAAGTAGATGTCTTCCTGACCTACATGTTGTAAATTCCTCAAACCTTGGCATGAGTTAATTATCTCTCCCTAAGTAAATAGTGTTATCTCCTTGTTTCCCACTAATCTTGTTTGCCCATCTCTGACGCCCTGGTCAGTTCTTCACAGATGGTCAGCAGCCCGGAATTGGCCTTTTGTGGGTTTACAGCCCTTCTGCAATTAAGGTTGCTAAACCATACATTCCATTCTGTGGTTTGGCCGGTTCCTGGGATGGGGTCCTTTGTTCACTTCCCAAGTTCTCTAGTGGGGTGCCCTCCCCTGTTTAAGCTTATATTTTATTTCTATAAATTCGGGGTCTTTCATCCCTCCATGGTCTTCACTTCAGTTCCTTCTTGAACTCCTGCCCTGGTTCTCTTCAATAATGGGCTGTAACCTATAAGATGAAATAAACCCTTTATTCTCTAAGTGGTTTTTAGTTGGTGTTTTATTACAGCAACAGAAAGCAAACTGGATCAGAAATCAGTACAAAGAATGGGGTCTTGCTGTGACAGACCTGACCACACTGTTTTGTTTTTTTGTGGGTTTTTTTTTTTGGTTTTTTTTTTTTTTTTTTTGGTTTTTCGAGACAGGGTTTCTCTGTATTGTCTTGGAGGCTGTCCTGGAACTCGCTTGGTAGACCAGGCTGGCCTGGAACTCACAGAGATCCCTGACCACACTGTTATTTGGGAGGATTATGGAATTATTTGGAATCTTGGACTGGAAAAGCCATCCAGTGCATAAAGTTTAATGGGATGTCCTGTTGGATGTTCGAAGATAAGAATGTTGGGAGAATTGCAGATGATGAAGGCCTATCTTGTGAAGTTTCCAAGGGAAACAAAATACTATTAGGGCCACTTGTGTGATATATTTAAATCAAGAGTTTCAGGACTATAGTTCTATAATAGAGCTTGAAGTCAGGGATAGTGATGCCTCCAGACGTTGTTTTGTTGAACAGGATTGTTTTGGCTATCCTGGGTCTTTTGTTTTTCTATATAAAGTTGAGAATTGTTCTTTCAAGGTCTGTGAGGAATTGTGCTTGGATTTTGATGGGGAGTGCATTGAATCTATAGATTGCTTTTGTCAAGATTGCCATTTTTATTACGTAGATTCTACCTATCCAAGAGCATGAGAGAGCTTTCCATTTGCTGGTGTCTTCTTTATCTTTTTTCTTTTTTTCTGTTTTTTCCACCTTTCTTTTCTTTCTTTCTTTCTTTCTTTCTTTCTTTCTTTCTTTTTTTTTTTTTTTTGGTTTTTCGAGACAGGGTTTCTCTGTATTGTTTTGGAGGTTGTCCTGGAACTCATTCTGTGGACCAGGCTGGCCTTGAATTCACAAAAATCCATCTGCCTCTGCCTCCTGAGTGCCAGAATAAAAGGCACGAGCCACCAACGCCCAGCTTAATTTCTTTCTTTAAAGACTCAAAGTTCTTGTGATACAGGTCTTTCTCTTGTTTGGTTAGCATTACCCCACGATATTTTATGTTGTTTGTGGCTATTGCAAAGGGTGATGTTTCTCTGATTTCTTTCTCAGCCATTTTACCATCTGTATATAATAGGGCTACTGTTTTTTTTTTTTTTGAGTTAACCTT